AATCTCAAAGCATCTTCCTTATTCTTGAGCATGCTCACCCTGTCTTTTTCTCCTCATTGGACCCCTTCTCAGAAATTTTATCTGTAAGCTTACCCCTTAGCAAGTCAAAAATACCACGACTACCAATTGTCCCTCAAGCTTGCCTTTGCCCAGGCCCCTCAAGGTCCCCACTCCAGCAAGTATTTCAGATAGATATTATTATTCCTAATTTATAAAGGAGGAACAGAGGCTCAGAGTATTTAGTACTTACTCAATCACACAATTAAAAAACAGAGCTAGCCCGGCTGTTGTGGCTCAGTGGTTAAGCATCAACCTGTGAACCAGGAGGTCACGGGTTTGATTCCCGGTCAGGGTACATGCCCAGGTTGTGAGCTTGATCCCCAGTGTGGGGCATGCAGAAGGCAGCTGATCAATGATTCTCTCTCACCATTGATGTTTCTATCTTTCTCTCCCTCTCCCTTCCTCTCTGAAATAAATAAAAATATATTTAAAAACAAAAACAGAGCCAGGATTTTAATCCTGGTATCTTTGACTTCAAAGTTATGCTCTTTTAGCCTCACTGTCATGATTAAGTACATCCCACTCCCAGAAAGATATCATCTGCCCTTCCATCACCCTAACCTATGCTTCATGACCCCATCACCCAAATTTGAGGTTGGGAGGTCAGGCTGTTCTGGGTTTTACCCTCAATGATATGCTATAGGCCATATTCTGTTCAACCAGAGGGGGATAAATAAAACAATCTTTCTTGGCCCCTCTTTATTTCTAATATCCAACCCCATCTCTTCCTCTTTATCATCACACCTCCCCCAACCCCTGAGAAAAGGAGGAAAGAAGTGGAAAAGAAAATATAAAAGAAGGGAAATAAGAGAATATGCTAAAGGAGGGATGTGGGTGTTTTTCTTAAGCTGTTTTTACTTGGTCAGAAATAGAAGTAAAGCACTCTAAAAGAATGTGGAATGCTGTCGTGTACTTTACCTCAAGATTTGGTTCAAAGAAAGTTTAAAGAAACTTTAAGATTTTCTTGGTCTGTATGTTTTATCTGAATTGTTTAGTTAAATAATAATAATTATCATTTATTGAGTACCTCTTATGTGTCAAGATTACTATAAGGGTAGAGCTAATTGGCACAGTTCCTGGCATATAGTAGGCTCCCAATGAGTTATCCTAAATATATCTTGAATCCTCACAACAGCCCTAAGAGATAAGGTCTTTTTGTTCTAATTTTACAGTTAAAGAAACTAAGATTCTTAAAGGTAAGAAGCCCAAGGTAACATAGATAAGGTGTTTGCTTCAGGTTTAAGAAAGCAGGTAGTAATCATTGTAGTCACTGGGCTAATGCCTTACCTAAATAATTTCATTTTATTTTCACAACTACCCTCCTAGTTAGGCACAGTTATTATCCCCCATTTAAAACGAAGAAACACACTTAGAATGGTTAAACAATTTTCCTAAGGTCATGTATCTGGCTGATAAGCCAAAATTTGAAACCAGATCTAACTCCAAGTTCATATGCCACACGGTACATCAGGGCTGTATGTGATGGGAAAAGTTGGCATGCTGTCATTTGAGAGGCTTTTCAGGGATATACCTATGACCCTGGTGAATTGACCAGACTTTTCAGGGCCCTCAGCCTTGCACGCAGAGATTTGATTCAGTCAGCCTACTAAGAATAAGTCAATCTCTCAGGGGCAGACGCACATTAATCAAGCTCATGAGACTCAAAGACCAGAGGGCCAGTTTGCTGATATTGAAAAATGTAACTACATTTGAGGTTCTTATGACCAGTGCATCCTCTCCATAGGCTGACCTACCTAGGAATCTGAATTTTAATCCAAAGTTATTTACTAAATATGGAATCCAAGCAAAGGGAAATAATTAGGTGAGATAGAATAGTATGGACTGCCACATAGTAAAGACTCAATAAATTTTGGTTGTTATTATTATTAAAATATATTTTTACTGATTTCAGAGATAAGAAGGAAGAGGGAGAGGGAGAGGGAGATAGAAACATCAATGATGAGAGAGAATCATTGATCAGCTGCCTCCTGCACACCCCACATTGGGGATCAAACCTGCAACCCGGCCATGTGCCCTGATCAGAAATCAAACTGTGACCTCCTGGTTCATAGGTCAATACTCAACCACTGAGCCATGCCGGCCAGGCTGTTATTATAAACTAGAGGCCCAGTGCACCAAATTCATGCACTCAGGGGAGGGGATCCTCAGCCCAGCCTGCGCCCTCTCGCAGTCCAGGGGTCTTCAGGCAATGTCCAACTGACAGCTTAGCCATCAGTTGGACATCCTTAGCCCTGCCTTGGAGGCGGGAGAGGCTCCTGCCACTGCCACTGTGCTCGCCAGCCTTGAGCCTGGCTCAGGGCTTCTGGCTGAGCAGTGCTCCCCCTGTGGGAGTGCACTGACCACCAGGGGGCAGCTCCTGCATTGAGCATCTGCCCCTTGGTGGTCAGTGCTTGTCATAGTGACTGGTCGTTCTGCCATTTGGTTGATTTGCATATTAGCCTTTTATTATATAGGATATTATATAGAATACCTATCTATACCTATGAATCTCCTAAACATAATATGCAAACTTTTATATATGTACATATGTACATTTTCTGGGAGAGAGTCTATATCTTTTATTAAATTATAAACATGTTAGTGACCTATAAAAAGGTTAAGAGCCATAAATTTGACCCCAAATTCTACACAGAACCCTGAATACTTTAATGGAACAAGTAAAATTTGAATTGGCTTGACATTCTCCCAGAGCTAAGGCTGTTATACTATCTTGCAATCTATTTGATTAAATTTAACCACTTAGTTTATGTCTCATTTTAAGTACTTTCCCCCCATATCTTTCCTATATATTTTCTTAGTACTTTTACAAATCCTATCATTTATTTCCCTATTTAGTTCATTCAAAATCATCTCCCTTTGGAGATGATATTCTTCTTAACATTCAAGCTCTTCACCTAGAACAATCTATCGTGTATAATAAAAGGCTAATACAGAAATCAACCAAACGGCAGAATGACCAGTCACTATGATGTGCACTGACCATCAGGGGAAGATGCTTAATGCAGGAGCTGCCCCCTGGTGGTCAGTGTGCTCCCACAATGGGCCAGAGGGGGCGCGGCACAGTAGGGCCGAATTGAGTAGGAGCAGCATGGCACCCGGCTGGGGCTCAGGCTCCTCCCTCGCCACCTGCTGCTTTGCGCATTACTACATCCCTCAGGGAATGTCAGACTGCCAGTTTCCGTGTGGTGATGGGTTGAAACTGGCAGTCTGACATCCCCCAGCGGTCCCGGATTGCCAGAGGGCGCCGGCCAGGCGGAGGGATCCCACTGGTGCAAGAATCCATGCACCGGAACTCTAATCAAGAATAAGCAGTAATACCAACTCTCTTTTGCGCATGGGATACTACATTTGAAAAGGCAAACAATAATTTGCTAAGAAAACACCATGCCTATACATGTAGAAGCTCCAGCTTCCTACTCTTCTTTAGATTATCTGTACAGGGGTTGGGAGAGGATTACTTCAATTAGGGAGAAATTCTATCTCCTTTTACATTTTTCTTCTGTCAGAACACCCTTCATAATTTTTTTTTAATTATAGCTCCTTTGAAGATTACAAATCTCCATTCAAAAGGATCTAAACTAAGGCGATCCAAATTATCTTCTTTTCTGTATTCATTCCAGAATGAATATTTATTGAGTGCCTTCTATGTTATAGGCAGTTTTCTAAGCACTGGAGTTACAAAGATTTATAATATAGGGGGGAGTGAGACCCATGAATTAAAAATTGCAGTGTGGTGGGCAATCGTTTCCAGGAGTAAGCTCACGCTTCTCCCACCCTCTTCTTCCCCCACAGACATGCATCTCCTAAACTTTTAAGGGCCCCAGGAGGCTTGCAACCAAGGGTAGCAATAGGCAGCAGCAGTTCATCCCAGACAAACCCCCTCAACCTGTCCCCAAGGTCTCCATTTCTCACTTCCTAGTGAGCCAAAGCAGACCAGCCTAGGCTCATTTCCCAGCCCTTCTTGTTTCACTGTCCCTAGTGTTAACATAAATATTCAAATCTGTAAAGAATTTTTGTGAGTTTATTTGAGCCAAACTGTCAACAATCGCCAGGAAGCAGAACCTCAACGGATTGAGATAATACTCCTGAGAATGGTGGGTTACATCTATATTTATACATTGCAGTCAAAGGAAGGGACAGTAGGTGGGTTACATGAAATCCATTGGTGATAGACTAGAGAGGTGGG